AAATATTACATATATTCCAGTCAGTACACTTAAGCATAATTCTTCTAAATCTTAAATACACAAAGTAACTTCCTCTGAATCTGCCAGCTGATGTGCTTAAAAAGATCTAGATTTTTGAGCACGTATGTCAAGTAAAACATCAGGTGGGGTAAAGCTAAAACAACAATAGAAAGTCCTCAAAATAATATGCTTTCTGAAAGCAGTAATTAACCATGTGGGTACCCAGTACACAAGGATTCACTAACCCCCAAGACATCCAAACCAGAGACCACGTCCAGGCACCTGTAACCAGTTTACACAGGACAGACAAAAGGAACTCAAATCCCAAAAGCATCAAACTCCCACCTGCCCCCGCTGTCTTACATCCTTGTTTACACAAAAAGCAACTGCTACCCCAGAGAGGCAATGCTAAACATCAGCTCATCTTTCTAGGAGAAAGGAGCTTCGAAACTTGCTTTTCTTGTCCCACTAAAAAGAGAGCACAAACCTTTTGGCAAAAGAAGCGATAAAGAAAAGTGGTACTTCAAACATCTGGAAGTCATACAGCCTTTTTCTAATTTGCCAAATTGAAAAACATGCCTGCTTCCAAGTTTGGCCTCTGCATGTTTTCCCTGTGGGCTCAGAATCAGACACATGAGGAAATGAATCCTTGCCACAACATTTTAAGAAAAAGGTAATGTAAAAACACGCATTTCAAAACACAATTATACTGCATATCCATTACTTTTCAGCTTCTGGAAGTAACAAGCATCAGCACAGAAATAATGTTACTTTAACATCCGAACCGTTTCTGAACTGTGGTTATTTCCTCCCTCCTCCTCACCTGCCCCTCCTTTCAAAACAAGTAGAAAACTGGTAACGAGTAGTCCGTAACTCACATTCTAGTACTTCATGCAATGGTACTGGGAAAACTAGTAGTGGGAAGTTTCTTCAAGTGCTACATCTGACTCCAAGTTCCACACATATACTGAAGCGTTTTCTAACTAGTTTACAATTGGAAATTGCATTTCAGTTTTTGTTGTGTTAATTCATCTCTTTAAGACTTAAATCCCACCTTAATTTGCTTTATCACGTAAAAATACATCATTTTCACAGTTATAGAACATTCAAAACCTCTCAGAACTTCAACAACCAGGTTCTAAAATATACAACAGTCAAAATGCACAAGAAAAATAAAAGTCAAAAAGTATAAGCACAAGAAGCAGTTGGCCAGTTACTATACTATCACGTATATACCACCTGTCTAGGGTCAGCCTTCTCTTTGTAGAGCCTGCTTTGGTTTGGCTGAAGACGGCAGCTCTCCCTGCACCACAGCTCTTGGGCAGCAGAGGAGAAGTCTTAGTCACTTACCCTCAGAGGCTACCCTTTGATTAAAAGAGTACAGAAAAGAAAAGTCAAAACTGGTTCTCTACACACAGGTTACAGTACCAGACAGTTCAGTCAGCAGAAATATGATCTTTGGATTCACTAAAGGTTTTTAAACCACAATATTCTTCAAAAGCATTACTGTTTAAAAACATTATTTCTTTAAAGACCTGCAATTTTACACAAGCTTCCCAGCCCCAAGTAAATCTTTACTGTAATGAGAGTGACAAGGCAGAGGACATTTCTTGGCAAACATGAAAACATTTGAGTTTATTCAGTCTTAGAAGCTGACATCTTGCATTATCCGTACAGATAAAATAAATTTATCTGTGCTGAGTTTTTGATACACCTGTAATCAAGTCCAAGCCCTGGGAAAAGCCATTTCCCAGCACTGGTAAAAGACTTTTTAACTACACATAGTTTTCTCTGAAGAACAAAAAAACCCCAAGGAAACACTACAACCCACTCAACATTTTCCCTTCAGCTGGAAAGTGAAAGCAGAGAGGAGGGAAGTGAGAAGTCAGGGTGGAAAGCTACCTTACCATTAAAACAGCGCCTCTAACTTAAGAGGCCGATCAACATTTGAGTAGTAGTTTGGGGCACGCCAAGAAACACTGGAGCTGTCTGGTGTGGCCCACAATCATTTCTGAGCAATGCTGACCAGAGTGCCTCAAGTGACATATTTCTGCTACTGCCCCTGCTGGTCTCTTATAACAAAGAAAATCAACTTACCATGAAGTCTGGACCAGGTGTTGGTTACGTTCACATTCTAATACCTGAAGGTACATAACGATTATCTGGAAGATATGGGTTATTGAGTTATTAACAAGAATCTTGAGAGCCACTTATTTATTTCAGAGGGACATCCATGAGGCATCTGTAATTCTCTTTCAGGATCTAAAACACTCCACAGGAGAGTGTTTGCAACATCCTCAGTGTTTATTCACACAGCTTCTGCTCTCCAACGCAAAAGCTGGACACTCAACCAGATCTGACCTTCCTAGCTCTCCGTCTTCCGAGCTCAGGCACCATGCTATTCATCTAGATGTCTTGTCTTCAACTCTTTTTCAAGCTAGGTATGTTCTCCTACACAACTCACCATTCCTTTTAGCTGTAACTTGGGAAAAAAATATTGCTAGCTGCAATAATCAGTAACAGAAGTATAACAGTGTTTGCAGAGAACATGTTGCATGTCACGAGTTTATTCAGTTCTAGGTTTTTTTCTTAGTTTTGAAAGGAAAACAAGGATAGAAATAAAAAGACTACTCTAATTCAAACCAATTAACAAGTACAATTGTCCTTTGGGGTACTTGTAACATGAGTGAATTCCAAAAGTCAAGCAGGCTTAAGACGACTTTTAAGGCTGCAGTAGTTTTTAGAGGAAGAAAAGAGCAAGATCCCAAGTTCTGCTGGCACGTAAGTAGAAGGTTCTTTTACCACACTTTGCTACTTGGGGCACAGTGCTAATGGCACTAAAGCACCAACTGCAGGTGTTGTATCTTACACGTATCATCCTACTCTGACACACAATACTTAAAGTATCTCATTTCTAGTCAAGCCCTTCACACCTGAGTGTACTTTTTAGAATTTCAGAAACACTGCTAACTAGCTCATACGAGTTTAATAATCTCAGCCTGTTTCCACAAGGAGTGATCATGACTGTTTCTGATAATAGGCTATCACAACCCCAGGTCTCCAAATTATTTTCTGCTTAAGAACCTACATTTAATTGATGTTTTCTAACATCAAAGCTACCTACTTATGCAATTTGACTTCAAGGAATACTTAGCATCTGTATCCAACTCCAGTCATCATTCAGCAGTGATATAAGACCAACTAGTAAGCATCTCTTAAATGAGAAAGAAGACACGGGGATCGTAAGAAGCTAGCTTTAGTGAATTAACTAGTGTTATCATGCACAAACCACACAGCTTCCGTGCAGTTGGACAGTCTACTCAAAGCATTTATGGCATATGAAACACTGATTATAAAGTGAACTTATACAGTACAAACCTTATGTGGGTGCTTTACATGAACACAGAATCCCAACTCCTTTAACACTCTTCTTTCCGCCTTAATAATTTGATTCTTCAAGTTCACATATTCCTGATCCAGTATTAGAGGCACAGGTTTTCTGCAAGACAATTTCAAAATCTGAAGTAGATAATTTTAACCTCAAAGAGTACTCGTATGCAGGTTAAGTTTGTGTAAAAACAAGAGATGTCACTATTTACAACACCCAAAAGATTTACTTAATGAAATGGGTCCACTCACTTTTCTCCTTCATGAGATCTCTTCATGATGTTCCCTGATTAGACAGGGAACGATACTATCACGGGCCCATGAAATTTAGTAATTTAAATACAACATTAATACTTAAGATTATTTCAAAGTCTAAGCTTACTTTTTTTCCCGTAGATGTCTGAGGCGATGGAACACATTAATTACATCCCTTATGCGTCTTGGTGCTTCTTCAATTTTGGATGCCAGATGAACACAGGCCATTGACACATGCTGAAATATAAGTATTGCAAGATACTGATGTTTTGCTCAAATCAGGAGCTGATCTCCTCCAACAGCTTAAGGAGGGATAACAAGAGAAAATGGTAGTAAAACAAGGAAATAATAAAAATCTGACAGTCAGTACTACGTAGCTTTGTAAAATCCTGTTGATCGATAAATAAAATCTACAGGCTAGTTACTAACGCTCTGATCACATCTAAGATGACAACTTGCTAAAAAAACCCAAAGATTAAATAACACTTGGAGCCATATACAAATTTTAGCATTTTCTTACCTCCATGGAATGCTTCACAAAAGACTTGGTATAAAAAAATCGTTGAAACAGCACCTGTCCTGTAGCCATAGCCACCTAAAAAGAGAACAACCACAACAGGTGTTAATAAAGCAACTACCTGTTTCAAAAAAAAAAAAAATTACCTAGGATGATTTCAACATATTTAAGACCCAGAAAACTACTAAGCTGTATTTAAGTATGGCAGTAAATTCAGCGGTAGCTAAAGAAAAGTAGCACCCCTACCTCCGTAACAAATTAAGTTGCCCAAAAATTACATCAACACCACAAACGCCAGAAGGTGAATACATACGTTAAATCGCAAACGTCTTTTATGAAATATGAACATATGCTCCAAATTAATTAAAAAAAAAATTAAAAGCCACCAACCCAACACTAGTACTCAATAAAACTGAAAGTTATGACAATACGCCAGAAAAATTTTACTTTTTCAGCGTGGAAGGAGAAGGGGAATCTAATAATACTATGATTTGCATAGACTCGTAACACAGTTTGAGTAGCTGAGACTCGAGGAGATGGCTGGAAAGTTTTACACTCGGAGAACAACGAGACGGCGATTTGAGTTCGCCGGGAAACAAAACCTTTCCGAGGTCACTACAATCCCGAGGAGCCTAAGAAGCCCTTCTTTCCACAAGCCCATTTCTTTTAAAAAAAAAAAAAAAAAAAAAAAAAAA